CGGGGACGAAGGAAGGTGTTGACAACGGGCGCCCGAAGTCACACTCAGTTTCCCCTGAGTTCCCCCAGTTTCTTGCATCGGGAGGAGAAAAAAAACTGAGGTTAACTGGGTTAATGAGGGGGCGAAGGAAGGTGTTGACAACGGGGCGCCCGCTGTTACACTCAGATTAACCCCAGTTTCCGCCTCAGTTTCTTGCATCAGGGGATAACGCAGTTAACTGGGGTGAACAAAGGCTAGCATATGGTAATTGAGCTTCACGGTGGCTCACTGTGGTTATCTGAAGTGAACTGAGGTGAACTGAGGTTACTGAGGTTAACTGAGGTTAACTGAGGTTAACTGAGGTTACTGAGGGTAACTGAGGTTAACTGAGGTTAACTGAGGTTACTGAGGTTAACTGAGGTTACTGAGGTGAACTGAGGTTACTGAGGTGAACTGAGGTTACTGAGGTGAACTGAGGTTACTGAGGTTAACTGAGGTGAACTGAGGTTACTGAGGTTACTGAGGTGAACTGAGGTTACTGAGGCCGTCTCCGGCCGACGCCGCTCGCGGCCACAATGTATATATATATATATATATATATATACTAGAACCCTCGCGCGCGCTTCGCGGGCGCTCAGGTTCCAGCCCAGGCCGGGGGGCGCTGGACGATGTTGGACGTCGCTATCAAGCACAGGCATGCGACGGCATCTGAGGAGCTTCTGGGGTGTTCCGCATGCTTCGTCAACTGGCTGTTGGAGGCACCTCTTGGGTGCTTCTTGGGGGGGCGTCTGAAGGTCCCTTGGGGGCATCGGTTCTGCAATCTGAAGCCGTCATTGGCCGTCTTGGCTGCGTGGAGGCCCCACTTGAGGCCACCTGCGGCCAGATTGAGGCAATCCGGAAGCCTCCCGGGGGCCTCCTGGAAGCAGTTTTGACGCATCGAGGGCACTCTTGGGCTATTTAAAAAAATCTTGGACGTCTCCTAGGGGCCTTTTGAGCCCTCGGGAAGCTTTTGGCGTCCTCGTCGGACCACTTGAGGGCCTCTTGCGGCCTCCTGTGGGTCTTTTGGGGGGAACGCTCTGCTGTTGGGTCGCGTTCCCCTTCTTGGGCCTCTCTTGGGGCTCTTGGGGCCCTCTCGGGCCGTCTTGGGCGCCTCAAGCACCGTCTTGGGGCCCTCGCGGGCCGTCTTGGGGCCCTCTTGGAGGCCTCTTCCTCTATATTGGAGCGGTATTGGAAGCCTCTTGGGCCGTCTTGGAGCATCGGGATGCCAAAAGGCAGAAAAAATTAAAACCCGTCAAAGCCCAATCGTAAAACAATGAGTTGTGGGCCACCTTGGGAGATCTCTTGGAACCTCGTCGGCCCTCTTGGAAGCTTCTTGGGGGCCTCTTGGATCCGATTGGGGGCCTCTTGGGACTTCCCGAGAACCTCTCGGGGTAGAAAGCTCGGATTCTCAGTTCGTGTTTCCCTTCTTGGGCCTGTCTTAGGGCCGTCTTGGGGCCCTCTCGGGCCTTCTTGGGCGCCTCAGGCACCGCCTTGGGGCCCTCGTGGGCCGCCCAGGGCCCTCTTGGAAGCCTCTTCGGCTATCTTGGAGCTGTCTTGGAGGCCTCTTCCTCCTCCTCGTCCCCTCCTCCTCCTGATCCTCCTCCTCCTCCTCCTCCTCCTCCTCCTCCTCCTCCTCCTCCTCCTCCTCCTCCTCCTCCTCCCACTCCAGCTCTCTCTACTCCTGATCTTCCTCCTCCTCCTGCAGCGTGTTCCGGAAGGCTCCCGCCGGAACATGCTGTGCACAAGTGCTGTCACTGCTCCCGCCACCGTGCCCTGGGTGGTGGGTCAGAGGCCCCATGGGTGTTGGTTTGGATCTCGTGGTTGGCCTGTCGGGGACGTCGTGAAGGCAGTTTCGCAACTTCTCGGTAGCCGTTTTGGGACCATTGTGGGGCCTCCTCGGGGCTGTTTTGTGGCCTCTTTAGGCCTCGTTTGGGCCTCCTGGGTGCCTCTTGGGGGCCTCCTGGGGCCTCTTGGGGGCTCCTTGGGGCCTCCTGGGGCACTCTTCAAGCGGGAGGGTCGAATTTTGGAGTCGTGGTCCCCCGGTCCCGCTCTTGGGCGCATCTTGGGGCCGTCTTGGGGCTCTGTTGGGCTGTCTTGGGCGACTCTGGGGCCGTCTTGGGGCCCTCTTGGGCCGTCTTGGGGCGCTCTTGGGGGCCTATTGAGCCGTCTTGGAACGGCGGACAGCCGAAAAGACTGGAAGGCCAAAATCGTTCGAAAACCTTCGTAAAATTAACGATTTCGGCCTCTTGAAGCGCTCTGGAGAGGCGTCTTGAAGCGTCGTGGAGTGCCTTGGGGAGCCTCTCGGGCCGTCTTGGGCCTATCTTGGGCGTCCCGAAACGGTCTTTCGGCGACTCGGGGCCCGCTTGGGCCGTCTTGGGAGCCTCTGGAGGCCCTCCTGGACTATTTTGGACCTCCCCGGCCGCCCCGTCCTCTCATGCCTTCGAGGCCCAGGACGCGGAAACCCTCAAAAAAACACAAGGAA